TCCTCCCCCCCCTTCCTCCTCCCTCCTCCTCCGGTCCCCCTTTTCCCCTCCCCCACCTCCCGTGGGCAACAAAAATCATGGTTATCATGTTAACTCTTACAGATAACATGTAAGTTGTAAGAGTTAACACGTTAACCGTAAGAGTTAACATCCGCTGGCATGAAAAAGAGAAGGGTAAAATGGGATTTAAGCCAGCTGGCATGTCTAATCATCCGCTGACGTGAGCTGAATCATGATGGAGGGGTTTGGACACAATTTTTTAAAAAAGAAGGGGCTGTAGTACATTAAAAAAATATAGGGAGCTGGGGCACATTGAAAGTTGAAAATTGAGGCATTGACACAATTTCCCCTGTATTTTTACCAATAAAGAATAAAAATCGACGTCAATGCTAATAACATTTATAAAGTGACACACTTAATCAATAAAGGTCTAATTCGATCGCCCTTTCTTTTGGATTTGATTAGCAAATTTAAGACAGTTTGCATTTATAACCCTCAAAATTCTCATACATTTTGATTTATCCTCCCATATGCTATATATGCCCAAAAAAATCTCTCCCCCTCCCCCTCAACTCCTCCTCACCCCCACCCCACCCCACCCAAAAAAAAAAAAAACTTTTCATACCGTTTTAAAAGGAGTTAATTTAACAAAACCCCTTGAACTGGACTTTGATATGTCACATAATTTTCTTAAATTTCGAGGAGACTCGCAAATCCCTTTAACTTTGAGTTAATATCAACAGACCCTCCAACATATAATTTGCAAGCAAAATAAATTATTGAGAATATAAACTCAAAATTTAGGAGAAGGGGTATGTTGTCTCTAAATTATAAATGACAAAGTTCGAGATTCTTTTTTATTTCTTTCAATGGCAATTTAGTTGTTGAAACGTTACAAATAGGGAGTCCGGTGAGAAAATGTCAATGTTTAGGGTAATTTTGTGATACACCCCAAAATTCAGGGGAGTTTTGTGAGAAAAGAAAGTTCAAGGAGATTACGCGTGAAAAATTCAAAGTTTGGGCGGCTCATGTGAAATTTAAACCCTTGAATAGGCTGCAGGCCTCAATGCTCATTAAAAAAAAATAAAAATATCTTAGGGACCTTAAAATAAGGGATTCTGAGTGTCGCCTCCCTGTCCCGTGATGCGCTGTTCTATTCATGAACAAACATCACAATACAATGAGGCGACACCTCATCTGTCCTATTCGAATATTTTATTTTGGGTTCCTATAGCAGCACATCAAAAAAAAGTTTCCTTGTAAAATTATTTTTATCGTGTCTTAATTAGGCCGTTGAATGCATGCACTCTTCCCGTTCATCATGCCACAATCAGTTGCCCAACGCAGAACGGAAAAAGTTACACCAAATTAATTCAGATTCAGTCAGAAAATATTAAACATTTGCAATTATCATAATGAAATAGTACAAGTACAAACCTACAGCTGTCCTTAAACGCCTCATTTCCGTGTCTTATTAGACTAATCACCGGCAGCAGCAGGTGGGTGAACCGCTAACGTGCGAGTATCAGGCCTCCCACTAACCTCACAGTTTACTCACCTGAAGCAGACATGCCAGCTAGTGATTCGTTAGAATTTCCTGAACGCTGTTCGTTTCTCACATGGAATCCCATGCCGGTTGAATATAAAATTATGAGACACACGCAGTTTCGAACCATTAAGCTGATACGTGAGCCCCACGCAGGTCCCCATTATTTCTTGCAGATTTACGTCAAAGAGCCGACCGACACGTCACCNGAGTGCCACCGGCTACCGACGGACTCGGCCGGTGCCACGTGCCAAAATGCATATAGAAAGGCCCTCGTCGTTTCTTCCCCATTTTGGTCTTCCTTCTAATTTAGACCTCTGTTTCCCAATAATTCACAGCTCGATCCTCTCTGTAAGTTTCCCCCCTCTCTCTCTCTCGAAGCTTCGTCAAAATTAGGGTTTCTTTCATTTTGCTCAAATTTCCCTAAATTAATTTGATTCAGGCGCAAATGTTCCGTTTCCGGAGCTGATCATTGGCTTTCATGTAAATGAATTTGACCATGGGCATCTACTCCTCTTTCTAGGGTTTCATTCGTGCTCATTTATTGCCCAATTTGTGGTATTTGTTGAATTTTGGGGAGTCTATGATCTAGTGATTCTAGTCGATGAGGAAATAATAAAGGCGTCTCCTTTATTGTTTTCTTCTCCAATTCTGCCTAGAATCAGATGAGAAGGCGCCCCCTTCCATCAAATTCCCGGGAGGAGATGGAGAAATCCAATGGAAAACCCCCTCGATCTCGCATTTGCTTTCTCGCAATGCTCGCTGCCATGTTTTGGCTGTTGATCTTTTACTTCCATTTCACTGTTCTTAGTGTAAAGGCCCCTGAACCCCAGAAGCCCGTGATCCCTTTCTCTTCGGTCCCATCTGAGACCCAACATTTCTCGAAAGAGAGCGAATCTATTAACCCGGTTCAGTATTTCGACCCGCCCCGCTCCAAGAACAACTATACCCCACTGAAACCGTCCAATGACCATCACGATACCCATCAAGAATCCGTCCCTCAAGAGGCCAAGAAGGATTTTCCCTTCTTGCGGGCGCTTAAGACCGCGGAGAATAAAGCCGATCCTTGTGGTGGGAGGTACATCTATGTCCATGATCTACCGTCGCGATTCAACGAGGACATGCTTAGAGATTGTAGGAAACTTAGTCTCTGGACCAATATGTGCAAGTTCACCACCAATGCAGGCCTCGGTCCTCCGCTTGAGAATGTAGAAGGGGTGTTTTCTAACACTGGTTGGTATGCCACCAACCAGTTCGCTGTGGATGTTATCTTTAGCAACCGGATGAAGCAGTATGAGTGCTTGACTAAGGACTCGTCTATTGCAGCTGCGGTCTTCGTGCCATTCTATGCTGGGTTTGATATAGCTCGGTATCTTTGGGGGTACAATATCTCGACGAGGGATGCGGCTTCTCTTGATTTGGTGGATTGGCTTATGAAGAGACCCGAATGGAATGTGATGGGTGGAAGGGACCATTTCTTGGTTGCAGGGAGGATTACGTGGGACTTTAGGAGGCTGACTGATACCGAGACGGATTGGGGGAACAAGCTCTTGTTCTTGCCTGCTGCCAAGAATATGTCTATGTTAGTGGTGGAGTCAAGCCCTTGGAATGCGAATGATTTTGGGATACCATACCCGACTTATTTTCATCCAGCGAAGGACGATGATGTGTTCGTTTGGCAGGAGAGGATGAGGAAACTGGAGCGGAAGTGGCTTTTCTCGTTTGCTGGGGCTCCTCGCCCTGATAACCCAAAATCTATCAGAGGGCAGATTATAGATCAGTGCAGGAAGTCTCCGGTTGGTAAGCTTTTGGAGTGTGATTTTGGGGAGAGTAAGTGCCACTCTCCAAGCAGTATAATGCAGATGTTTCAGAGTTCTTTGTTCTGCTTGCAACCTCAGGGGGATTCCTACACAAGGAGATCTGCTTTTGATTCAATGTTGGCCGGCTGCATACCTGTGTTCTTTCACCCAGGTTCGGCATACACTCAGTATACTTGGCATCTCCCCAAAAACTTTTCAAAATATTCGGTGTTTATTCCTGAGGATGATATTCGAAAGAAGGGTTTGAGCATAGAGGAGAGGTTGAAGCAAATTCCTTCTCATGTTGTGCAGGAGATGAGGGAGGAGGTCATAAGCCTCATACCCAGGCTTATATATGCTGATCCTAGGTCTAAGTTGGAGACTCTTAAAGATGCCTTTGATGTTTCAGTACAAGCAATTATTGACAAAGTTACAAAGCTCAGAAAGGAGATAATTGAAGATCGTGAAGACAAGGATTTCATCGAGGAGAATAGTTGGAAGTATGCTTTATTAGAGGAGGGCCAGAAGGTTGGGGCACATGAATGGGATCCTTTCTTTTCAAAACCGAAGGATGCGAACAATGCAGATTCTGGTAGCTCATCTGCTGAAGCTGCAAAGAATTCTTGGAAAAATGAACAGCGACCTCAGTCTTGAATGTCATGTGAGTTTCGTGTAGAGGAGGAACATTCTAGCATCAGTATGACCACTTCATTTCAGCAAAAAATTGAAGTTACCGGGAACCAAGAACCAAGCACCTCATGTAGAGATATGTAGCTACTGCAAGCAAATTACACCAATGAAGATCAAATGCACAAGTTTCAAGGAAGTTATAATCTTGACCGTCAACCATTTTGGAGCTTAGTTGAGGATACCAAGTTGCAAATATATTGTCTACGACATTGTTGTAGAGGTAGACATACAATTTTCCTTACATATGTTTAATTTTTTTACAGTTTAGGTATCCTGTTCATTTGAATAGGGGGCTTGCTTAATAAATTTTTACATTGTGCTCTTGTCATACATTCTTTCCAGAAAGATATAGATAATGTTATAGTACCTGTGTTTTGTCCTTTTAATCTAGTCAATCGAAATTAGGCACATTCTGAATCTTTTTTTTAAATGCTGAGTTTTCTCTAAGTACTTATTATACAAGATATTGTTTGTCCATAAATTGGAGTTTCCTTTTGATTGTGATATTGGCTTTTCTAGCGTTACATGATATTCATACTCTTCAATAAAGAAATTAGTATGGCAATAACAACTGATGCTTATCGAACATTGTGGCAGTTAACAGAAAATATTACTCATCTACAATTGCCAATACTTGCTTGCAACTTATTGTAGATAATTACCATAATGTTGTTATCCTGACTTCATAGACCTAATAAACAATATTTAAATATTTAACAGAGTTGGGCCAAAGGATTTAGTGGAATATCTTATCTTCATGTTCCTATATGGTGCTGGATTTGCAAAATTGTTTTCTATACTTAACAAAATTTCTGCAAAATTTCCTTTACTGTTTCATCATCCTTAAAGTTTTGCTTCTGGAAATCCTGCCAAAATCTGTGGTCATGTAATTTTCTTCTAACAATTTACGTTCCCAGGATTTTGATTTGCGATATCTGACTGCTTATCCCATGGGTTATGTTGGATACACACATCAATAGTTAGGATATATGTATGAGTAGTCATGCGAAGGTGAATGAATCAGTGATTGCTAACACATCAATAGTTAGGATATATGTATGAGTAGTCATGCGAAGGTGAATGAATCAGTGATTGCTAACACACTGAACAATTTGCACTCATTATGACTTTTCTCACTTTATGAATAACTCGCTATGACATTCTTTCTTCTTTCCCGCGTCTTGTTGAGGATTTTGACATTTGGGCTGAATTGGGTTCAAATTTGAGGAAGCAAAATGAAATAATTTGCTTTGGTTAATGAGGAAAAAAAGGGAGGGACAAAAATCAGCGGAAACTTTTCTCTACCTGATAGTTGTAAAGATGGGATCGAGATGCTGCATGTCTCCTCTGTGCAATTGAAGCAGCTTGCTAGCTTTAATCTTTTTTAGCATATGTTTGTGTTGATCACTATTTGCAAGGTGGATCTCGATCCATGACTACTAGTATCTAGGGAAAGGAGTCGCTGTTTTCCTTTACATTATTTACGTGAAGGTGGACCTTCACTAAATAATTTTCTTGTTGTTGCTCTTCAATAAATATTCTGCTATGTTGTAGCATACAAATATTTTTTTCCCTCTATATCCTAATTTAAATTAATTGGTCTGTCATCAAATTTTCTTTGATAGATATTTTCCTGTTTAGTCACCTTAACCTGCTTGAATCTGTTAGCTGTGCGTATACGGCCTTTTCGCATGTTAGCAAAGTACGGGGGGTCCATACAGTGCATTTCATTCATTCCGCTATTTATATGAAAAAATTTTCATACGATATTTTAGAAATACTGTCATTGATTGAATCAGTAGATTATCCCACCGAGCTTAGATAACTTGTCTGGTCTGGAGTAAAGCCGCAAAAGTGGCTTTTGAATTTACAAAACGATTTCCACAAATATCTTGCAGTGTACAGTGCATATTATATCGGTGATTCCTGTATGGAAAATGAATACTGGGGGAATTGATCTTATGGAAAATGATTACTGGGGGAATTGATCTTATTAGTATCCCTGGCCTAGCAAGCGAGATTCTTTTCTTTAGCGGTCAGAGGGCGGCATTAAGCAGGAAAGAAGGCCAACGGCTTCATCTTCTTGACATTTTTCGAAACTTTAAGAAACTGGCTATATATTGACATATTCATGTCTTTAGATGTCATTAGCTGATGCATTTGAAGGTCATTGTTAGGCAAGTTTTAGACATTTCTTGGAGGCCAGGTCCCCTTCTTTTCAGGACTAAGGTATATATATATATATATATACACATATGTTTATGAAGAAAGCAGAGGAATATCGTATGCCGAACTTCATGTAGTTTTCTTGCAATTTTTGCTGATCACTGTAGGCTTTAGCTTATGACAGATGCAGCCGGGTCATTGTTAAACCTCTATGCTCCACCAAAGCGCATCATTAGGGAAATTGGTACTTCAAATCTTCATAATGATCAACTTTTATTTATCAAAGAGATTAATTAGACGTATGATCGTCATGCGTTTTGCTTTGTGGGTTGGTAGACGCTTTGGAATCTATCTTAACGCACTTCACTCCGGGTTTACTCTGTAGCTGTAAAGCTGCGTTCGGTCAGCACCAAATGATACTGGGGCTTCGTGCGACTTATGTTGCTTTATTTCGTGATTAGCACCGCTTTCATCAAAAAATAGGACGCAAAAGAAAAGTTGATACCTGGTAATGATACGGGCCTTTGTTTTCTGGCGGGGGGCGAGTAATCATCGTTCTGCTAGTTATTTGATGCTCAAGAGATTCTGTAATGATGAACTGTCGACGAGTGCTGCGATGAACTAAATAGTAAATAATCTGTTTACATTGCGGCATGGTGATTTGATATCGGACTGAGCATTAGTTTTTCCCCTCTATAATAGAATAATCTGTTTCTATAATTTCATGATCTATGGTTTGATTCTGTAATAGATTATTCTATAATTTTCTTGAGATGGAAGCAATTTGCCGTTACTTCTTTTGTCCACACGGGGAAAAAAACACGAGGCGAGCTAATTGAAGATCGCAAGAACCTAATATTGCACTCGTCCTTGGGAGATAAGCAGGCCAAATCCTCATTAAACACTGTCTACCCAGAAAAGCTTAAGAGAGTTGATGAGGGCTGTCGGTCAATTGCAACTTGTAAGATGCTCTTAAATATTATAGTATTTCTCTTATAAAATCATTTCTAAAAACATAAAACATGATTGATTTTGATAATACATAAATGGTAAACGTTTAATTTACAAACACATTTTATTTGGGAAATTGGACGTATAAAAACATTGTTTAAAGCTACAACCTTAACATTTAACTGTGTATAATTAAATAATAATAATTCATAATAAAAAAAATTCTCAATAGGAAAAATGGGTATTACACTTGTTGATGACTAAGATCACAAAGTTAGTTGGTTTGGATCCGGGGCGGGGTCGGTTCCTCTCGGGCCCTCGTCGGGATGAGGTAGAGGAGATTGATGAACTGGGTCCACCTCATTCTCCGATTTTATGCCTGGTTCTTGAAATGGGGTTGCCGATCATGCTGCACAAGCAAATAATTCGTGAGAGGATGGGGACCGGTTCCCCCGTGGTTCCTCCGACAATCAAATCAGCTGGTGAGTTTGAGTGGGGGGAAGGGGAAGATGAGGAACCGATGAGGTTCTTGAGGGAGTTGTGTGCATGTGAGAGGGAGACCCATGTAGGCTGTCTAAAAATCACAATAGATAGCTGATCCCCATCAAACACCGATGATGGAAGTTACAATCTGACGACTTCCAGAAGGCTACAATTTGAAGACTTTCACGTAGATCGCTAAAGATTACAATCTGACGACCTTCACGACAACCGATGAGACCTCTAGTTCAACAGCCTTCACAATCAACATCGAGAGTTACAATCTGATGACTCTTGCATATCAAAGAGCTATAGTAAAGATTACAAAATGACGATCTTTGCAAAACTTCGATAGAAAGAGACTACAAATCGACGGTCTCTTCAAATCAAGACGTGAAAGTCCTCCCCGCGTACCAGCATCAAGATGCGCCGCGTTCATAGCCACTAATGCAGCTCAAATGCAGCTTCAAAAGTTGCAAACGCAGCTTCCAAATCGCTGTAAACGCAGCCTTCAAACGCTATAAACATGTAGGCATATAAAATTGCTTATAGGTCCCTTAGCTCAGCTCGGCACGAACCGACAAACCAACGAGGCGACGAGATCGACGAATCGCACGCAAGCAACGGAATACATCCATTGGAAAAGCAGGGCTACGATTTCACACTCGGAGAAGGTTTATACTTCGATCGAGGTCCTCGTAATCCAGCCAAAGCAGTATATGTACCAAAAGGTAAACCTGAGGATTATTATAAATATGGGCGAGGCTTAGGTTATGTTTCATCAGATGACGAATGTGGTTGGCAAATTATCGATCAAATTGCTAACAAAGCCAAGAAGGGATACTCTCCCGATGCTTCAGAGTGGGACTCCGATACAAGTCTGGGAGAAGTTTTCAAAACCCTAATGGCGAACATGACTACAGCTGATCCATCCACCATGGAAGACGACGATCAAATGCCAACATGGGAAGACCCGTGGGTTCACCATCTGAATATGCAGTATGGCGATAGGTTCGAGCAAAGAGAACCACCCACTGAAGATAAAATAGTCCAGATTAACATGGGTGATGAAGCTAACCCAAAGCCTATATTCATCAGCGACAGTCTTCCCCCAGATGAGAAGGAGGAATTGATTGCTCTCATCAGGGAATATATCGACGTCTTCGCATGGAATTATGAAGACATGCCAGGGCTCGACCCCAATGTCGCAATGCACCGCCTCGATATCAAGCCGGATGCCAAACCTGTCAAGCAACAGCAAAGACGGTTTCGTCCGCAGATTATGGAAGCCATTGAGGCAGAGGTTAAGAAGTTGATCGAATCAGGATTTATCCGAGAGGAACAACATCCAGACTGGTTAGCCAACATCGTTCCCGTCATGAAGAAGAATGGCAAAATCAGGATTTGCATCGACTTCAGGAACCTGAATGAAGCATGTCCGAAAGACGATTTCCCTCTCCCGATCACGGATGTCATTATCGACAATACATGTGGATTTGAGAGGATGTCCTTCATGGATGGATTTTCGGGATATAACCAGATCAAGATGCATCCAGAGGATGAGAAGCATACGGCGTTTAGAACACCCCTCGGCGTTTTCTGCTATACGGTGATGCCTTTCGGCCTGAAGAATGCCGGTGCCACATACCAGCGAGCGATGACTAAGATTTTCCAAGAACATCTCAGGAAAACAGTCGAATGTTACGTTGATGATTTGGTTGTGAAAAGCCGCAACAAGGAAGATCACATCAAGGATTTGAAGACAATGTTCGATCTCATGAGGAGTCAT